GTTGCTTCTTTTTAAAAAAAGTTGTAAATAACATTGGAAAAATTGTAAACTACTACTATTCCAACTACTAATATCTAGCTGGACAACATCACAATGATGAAATCCCAGAAGCTTCAGAATATCCATACTTTGGATTCTCTCGTAATTTCTAAAGGCAGAATGAGAGTAAGATGCCCTGGGTGTAGTTAACAGGAAAGGCCCATGTTTGCACATGCCTAACTCTACAAAGGATTTTGTGCTGTGATTCATAGAAACGCCTCATGCTGTATGTGCCCTTGAGCCTGTGCTTAAAACCTGAAAGAAAATCTTATCCTTTAGGAAAACAAGGAAAATGTGTCAACTATAAGCCAAACAGACCAATGCGCTGCTGTCATCCTGAATCTACAGATGGAAAACAGCTACATTATTAGCTGCCTTAATTTGTACGGTTGGGAAGAAAACAAATCACAATTCTAAAGCATAATGGTAAATTGTCCCAAGTTAGCAGCTTAATATTTCATTGACATCTTTTTAGCAAAAGCATCCAGCTAGTGTTTTTATTGTCTTGGACATGGTACGGATTGTACACTGAGGAATAGTTTATCAAGTGTATGTCATAAAACATGGAAAAATTAAAACTGAACAGTAAAAGTACAAGCAAAAATGGAAACTATTACACAATCTTAACTCTAAAAAGTCATTGCCAGACATCCACTACAATAAATGCTCTACTAGAGAGCAGCATAAGCTGCAGACAGCTGGGGAGCTGATTTTCAGATAAGGATTCTATAGTGCAAAATGCATGTAAGTACTGGAAAAGGAATACAATTAAATTGATCAATGAATCAAAAATACCAAATCTGAAAACGCTTTAATAACGGAATTGACACGTCAGGCTGGGTAAGGAAGGTAATGTATTGTAGTATTTGGACGTATAACAGGATTTGTCACTCAGAACAGATGGCAGCACATTTTAGATTAAAAGGTATGTAAGAGATTTGATTTCCCTTGGTTTTGTCATCCCCTCCTCACCCCTTTTCAATTTTCCTTGGAATCCTTATTACTCCCATTGCATTCTACTGCTTTGACCATCATTACAAAAAACAAATAATTATCTGTTTCTCTTTTAGGCAGACAAAGCAGAACAGGAAAAACTCTATACTCTGAATTCTACATGGTTTTGTAGAAAAAGTTCTGCACGCTGAAGAAAACCAACAGAAGGACTATGTCAGCAGTGAAGATGGCTGTTAGCAAAAGTATGCTTCTCAGGAGTCTGAAGAGGTGCAAACCTGAACCAACATAATTTGGATGCTAGAACTGTGGCTTCCTTGGTATAGCTTGTTTCACTGTTGTCAATGCACCTGCTTTTTTAGTATAACTACGTTCATCACAGGAGTATTTTGTACGCTCCTGTCTCCACACTGGTAGTAGACTCATAGTACAGACATAACCTAAGCCTGATTTTAGTAACTGAGGCCAACCTTTTCACTTAAAGGCAATCTTTCAATCAAGACACCCACAAATAAATGTAACCTGACATTTAAAAGTTTGACTCTGAGATAAACAATACTTGGAGGTACTCAGCACTTTTAAGAATTGGGCCACTTAAACTGTGCACCAAAAAGCTCATATTCAAAAAGGAGCAAACTGAACATTGCAGGACTTAACTTCTGGATAGGAAGTAACAATCTTAAACTGAAATTAAACACTAGGTTTCTTTATTCCTCAGTGGAAGTGACATTCATGGTCCTACAATGGAAGTGACACCACCTAGTGACCTTAGTGGTGGAATTCCTATGCCATCAACCCATGGAGCCTCAATGGAAATCACGCCTGACTGCTTTGTTTTTCTGGGCATAGGAAAGCCCTGAGACAGTCACCTATGTGAAGAGGCGATTATTTACTTACTTATTTTAACACAGCTAAGCAATTCGAGCCTTAACTTTTCCAAGTCCTGTCTTGTGCTGGAGGGATTTAAGCATACTGCCCCTGGACCAGGCATCTTCTCCAGCAGCCGGCAACTCAAAGCAGTCTCCCTGGCTGCATTTTCTTCTGTTAAAACACCATGATCAGCCAGTATAACTCAGAGACTGCCACAACTTACCACTCACTTAATTCCATCTGCAAATGTACTTGAGAATCATTTTATATTTCCTTCCAGGTAACTGATAAAGCTATTGAGAAGTATCATGCCAAGAACAGATTCCTGTGAGTTCCCACTAGAAGCAACCTGTGAGATGAATATTCCCCGACTCTAATCACTTTTCAGGATGTTTCTGTTAGTCCATTTTTAATCCATTTGGTAACCCTGGATTAGACTGATTTTACACACTGTTCTTTCGCTTTGTTTTTAACCACAGTGTCAACAAGGCTAAGTAAATGTCATAAAGTAGTCTAAGTGCATTATTGTCAGCACAGTTATCTTTGTCAACTTCATTTGTGATCTTGGAAAAAGCAGTATCAAGTTTGTTTGACAAGACCTATTATCCATAAAAACTTGCTGGCTGGCATTAGGCATGCTGTCATCTCTTCATTTTTTGCTGGAGGTATCTAGTTTCAAACTTCCAATGACTTTGCTTGACCTATAGTTACCTGGATCATCTTGTTTAACCTTTAAAACTTCTGGCACAACATTTGCTTTTTCCAGTTCACTGGAACTCCCCTTGGTATGCCAAGATTTGTTAAAAAGCAACAATAATGGTTTAGACAGTTCAAGTCTCTTGTGCAAGTTTTCTAATCTGACATAGAATTAAGGAGGAAATGAAATTATTGAATTTCACTTCTAACTTCAATTTTAGATGAGCTGTATTTCTACTAGAATGACCTGCCAGCATTTTCATAATGAAGTGTAAAGCACCCATCAGTACCTTTGCTATAATGTTTCAAATAATCTCAAGTGCTTCTGTGCCTTACAGTTGCAAAATACTTGAAATATTATTGGGACAGTTTGCTTTTTACATAGTTGTTCTGCCCTATATATTTCCTTTTGTCATTTCTCTCTTCCTCCCCCCATTTGCCTACATTTTATGGGAAAGTCTCAGGTTTTACAGGATAAGATTAAAGGACAAATACCTGAAAAAAAATTTGAACTTTTGTACAGTCTTATAAGCAACCTTTATGGCTGTGTTTGATCTAATTTTTAGAAGCTTTGGGTTCAGCTAACGTTAATAAATAAACAACACAATAACTCTGGTTTTTGGCAAACTCCTTAAACTGTAGGGGTGTGAACTTAAACTGCATTTAAATACTAGCCCAGTAAATTTGGCATACATTATTTCTGAAACTATTGATTATTATGCTGTTGCATCTTATGGCATTTATACTAGCAGGTGAAAAGGCAAGATGCTGTATAACGGGTTGTCTTACTAGTCTACTTGAAAACACAGATACAAAAACTTCTTTAGAAAAAACAATGACAGTGCGAACAAAGATTAAAACTGAATATAAGAAGCTTTTTAAAATACTGTCTGGTATATCTACTAAATCATCTAGATTTCAATATGCTCAGTTTCAGGCGTATTTGACTATTTCTTCAAATATTTAACCTCAACTTCTACTCTCCTATAAGGGTAAAATACAACAGAAACAGTGGAAACACAATGTTTTTGTGAATGCCTTTAGTATGTGCGGATTAAGTAAGAAAAACATTTGGCCCTTTACATAAGAAGTCAAGAGCAGTACAAGCTGCAATTAATATCAGAATTTGTATGTGAAGTTTCTCCCTAAAACAGAAAAGTGATTGCTTGCTTGTGGGAGAGGGGTTACCTAAAAGAACTTTTTCCTGACATTTGGCTGATACCACCATTCTTGTTTGACTTTGTAAAGCCTCCTTCTGAATCATTACACAACAATAACCCACCTACAGATCTTATCAAGAAGAATAAAAAAGGCTGGTTTTCTTTTTCCCCATCAGAAAAAGTTACTGTATTAATAAATTGTTATGTAGAATCTTCTACAACACAAATATAACAACGTAAAACAATTTCAGCACTCTTCAGGCTTTGGTTATGTCCAACTGTGCGCAGCTCTAATGTTCAAAAACCAGTGTGGTACCCAACAGCTTATTTTTAAATATAAACTTTGACTGGATTAAATTTTAGTTTTTAAAACTATCTTTCTTAATATAATTGCATGCCAGAACTAGACTATTTTTTTTATAACCTCCATTCTTAGAGAGAAAAATACATTGTGAGAAAACAGCTACTAACACAGGCCACATCTGGACTCTCAAAGAGCTGCTTTAAAAGACCAAACCCTGAAAAAACTATTATAGATCTTCTCAATTTCAGTGGACATTCCTTGCACAGGGTTTTGGTTTCCTGGGATTAAAATAGTCTTGGAAATAGAAGAAATAAGTCAAAATAACGTATCTAATGAATGCTAATTATAACGACCAACAGAAGCAGGCTAACCCAGTACCTTCTACCTGCTGGGATTTTGGTCCTCTGTCCATGACATCTCTCAAGTCTGGAGGGATTATTCTAAAACTGGCCTCAAGACTTATGAAAGGAAGACATGTATTTTTCACAGATTTTTTTTGTTATTATTTCAGTATATGAAACAACAACTATTTTTAGGTAATTCTACTTTCAACAACCCGTATCATAGGGCCAGTACGAAGTAAACTGGGATCCTGGCTATAAATCCTTTGTCAATGTTTCTCATGTCCCTTATCATCTCTGCACTAACAGAACATTTTCATGTTCTTTGTGCCTGTGCTGCCAAAAAATGACTTTGGCTGAGATGATATAACTCTACAAAACCATTTGTTAACATAATGTTATTTATTTCCTTTTTTTTTTGCCTAACTGCAATGTTTAATTTGTACCTGCGTATATTTGCACTTTTGTTATGCTCAAGACTGGTGATTTCAAAGAAACATGGGTTGGAGCAAGAAATATCAGTCTGAGTTTATCAGCATGAAACACTTAACCCAACATTCCTAAAGCAACACCATCCAAAAAGCCAATTTTCCCGTTGCATCTATGACCTGAAGTTGAGAAGAAAGACAGGAAATGTACCTGATTCCTGGAGATAGCGATACACCAAGAAATTCACTTCGTCACTGGTTATGCTCATCTTAGCCCAACCTCACTATGATGAGGTTTACGAGAAGTGTGATCCACGCTCTGTTCAAAAGGGAAGAAAAGAACAGGTTTTATTTTATCTTGATTTAGTATGTAATTTGTTATCAAAATAGAGGTGCGAATTGTTAAGATATCTAAGGACCTTATGTAGTTATTAGAGCTGTTACATCCCAATGTCAGTAACCCATCAAATGTTGTAGATCAAGTTCTCAAGCTGTACTGTACCTTTTATTATAATTAAAGAGCAGTATTTAACATATATGAGAGAGTCAGAGGGAACATTTTAAAACTTGGAAGCCTTTGCAAATGTCAACTCTTTTACTTCTGTGGATTTACCACAGGTTCTTCAGACACTCCTTTTTACTGTGTGAGCATTTCCTTTTCAGAACTGCTGGTGATTACAGTCTCATATAACACACCAAATCATAACCTTTTTGCAGCCCCAATTTTGTAATCTCGTTTTCTGTCCAGTAGTTCATCCACTGAAAAGACAAATTCTTTCCTTACAAAACCATGTTACTCAGAGAACTTAAATAAATTTCCTATAAAATAGAAACAAATCAAAACTTAAAATGAGATTACGAATTTTATCCTGGGGTGTGGGGGGAGAGAGAGAAACAAAAACAGAGAACATCGTATACCTTGTGCTAACAAGGAATACAAATATCTTGGCATTATATAAAGTTACAATGTTAAAATGTGTCTGCTGATGAATGGTGAGCAAGAATTCAACTTCACTTATTCACTTAAGTAATCATAACCTTTAGGATGACAGTTTTACATTACTATTTTGGGCTTATACTCTGATAATACAAACATTGGTTTTTAGATGATAAATTTGTTTGGAACATTTTCCATTAAATCCCGATGATTCATTTCTGTTTGGGAATCCGACTTAAGTAGTTTGGTTTGAAAAGCTGTAAGTGCTTCTCAGACATAAGCTTTGCCAGCCACACCATACCTACAAGTAATGGTGTAAAGATTTGGACGCGGAAGCACACACTAGGCGCTCGCCGCCTATCACCAATGAAAGGCCGTGGGCGTGTGCCGTTTGTTTCCATTTCCCGTATGGCTCTTCTTGGCAAGCGGAAAGGTCTTTGTTCATCGAAAACCTCTTCAGCAATTCCTGTTGCCTAAAGTAGCACCTGCTACTGCACCAATGCTGAGCGACTACAAGTTTCCCCCGCTGATGATTTAAACCAGCAGGTCACTCCTGACTGTAACAGATGTCTCTGCATATTTATGTAAATGGAGGTCTTTCAAACCCTGGTAAGCCTTTTATTCTCCTGGGCTGCTACGTTTCATCAATGGCTCGGATGTGGGTTTTCCATAAGAAACAACAGCTCGCCAATTTGGGAGACATCTTCCTCAAGTATTCCATTTTCTTTATTGTTCCATATTCTTTATTGTTACAGTTTTCACTTCATGGAGAACAAGAAGAAACAAAACATTGAAAATCGTGGAGTCTCAGTGGGAAAAATTTCATCCACTTTAGAAAGGATGATCACTTTCTGCTGGGATCCTGGATAAGGACAACACCAGCTGCATCCAACATCCAGTTCTGTCACGTACGTGTCACATGCCACATATCACCTTGGGAAGTCGTTTGGTCTCTTTTCTTCTCAATCCCTCATCTGTAAAATGGGCTCAAATTTCTCTGCCACAGGATCAGGAGACTGGAAGCACTGGTAGCCGTAAGGGCTTTAGTTACCAAGGCCGGCAACTGCAGGCAGTGAAAGCACTACGTCCAGTATAACTTTATATGTCCTTCCTCCAGATAAACAGACTTGTTTCTGAATAATTAACAAATCCCCATGCCCCCTTTTTTTTGCACAACCATCACCATACAATGAAGAACAAGACAGACATTCATGGCAACAGTTAAGGTTATTTTCATCCCCGTCTGAGTACTTAAAATAAACCCGTATCACTGCTATGGCCATGATATACAATAAATCAAGAAACTTTGATAGCTGTGGGTTTAAAAAAAACACCCGACGTAACATTTCTAAAAGCATTTTAAAAATAGCACTTTCGGTATTTGGTGGTAGGAAAGTTGGTAAAGATGAAACCTCTTACAAAAATTCAGTTTCAGCAATGACGTACTTTGTGGTAAAATGAACTTTATTAAAAAAAAATCAAGAAACTACAAATGCTGTTTCTGGATGCATCCTGCTAATTTAAGACAACATAATATTTCCCACATACAGAGGGTTGCTTTGGGAAAGGGAAGGGAAGGGAAAGGAGGAGCGTTGGGTTTTGTTTTTTTCTGAAGAAGACTTTTCTTAAATGAATTAAAACCAGAGAAAATCAGTCTGACTGCAAAATAAATAGTCTGACAGCCCCAGAAAAACCTCCCCAGCAGCTACCTTTGTATCAGAATCCCAAGCACACCGAGTGGCTGGATTTACAATGCATTTTCCCTGAAGTCAGTCAACAGGAATTACTTTGACATATGTGTCGGATCATATCTTTATACACATTGTTACCATGACATAAATAACCAGATGATCCCCACTCATACATTTAAGGTTTCTTCCCTCCCACAGATGCCAGTGCAGCAATCAGATACACAACTATAAAGCTTTCACCCATCCAAAACGATACACAGATCTTGGCTTTGACCCAGAGAAATCTATTCATTAGAAATTTGGCTGAGCTATGAAAGACCATACTCAATTTCATTAACACTCTTTTTGATTTCCTTCTTCTCCACAGATAAACACCTCAAATAAAAGAGGTTACAGAAGACATGGTGGGGAGGAGAGGAACATACTTATCTTTCGTGTATCTCCAAGTCTGATTCATAAAGAACAAACAACTAGCCTCCCCCTCAATACAATTTATTTTAATGTAGAAATGCAAATTTCTGTAGAAAATCATGGAAAACTTTAGTTAGCATTGTGATAGATTTATTTCTGCTAATTGATGGTCTCCTTTTGTTACTAGAGATCGGTATTACCTAGATTAATAGTCTGTAACAAGAAATAAATTATAGCTTATAAACAAGACTGATGTGCCTTTGGAGACATTTCACATCTAAACCAGCATTTTAATTCTTCACAATGTCAAGAGGATTTACCAAAAGCATTCAAACATGTGATTGAGCTTTCTTTACTTGCAACACTTTTTCCTGTACCAAATTACACATAACAGAAAGTTTTATTTACTTCGATCTTGCCTTAAGAATTTGGGTTGTGATCCTGCAGATATTTGAGAACGTCCAAACATGTGAGCAAAGCCCATTAAGACTTCCCAGAGTATAATGGATCCCAAACATTCAACCCTTTCCTGGTGGATGGGTTGCCAAGACCATGCAAAATTAAATTTAACACTCATTTTAAATAAACATTTGTCTCTCAGTTGTGCTGGGATAGGTTGGCAGAAACGCTTCCCATACAGAGGTAGAAAGCTGGATTATTAGCTCAGATACGCTACCGTTGTGCTTGTAGGGCTGCTTGGCTTTTGCTGAAGTAAGTTGTTCAGCTGGAGTTGAGCTGGCTCCAGCAAAGCTAACCCTGCAGCACACTCCTCCGTGCTCTGGGCAACTAGGGTAGCTTATTTCCTGGAGTACAGCACCGGACCAGATTTGGCTCTGTGCACCGACATACCACGGTTCTCAAGTTAAACCTTCCTGAAGCACTGGGAATCTTGCTAATGGGCCATGCAAGTAGCTCTGGAGAAGGCAGACTCTCGTCTAGCTATGGTTCAGCACAGTGCTAGTCAGGTCGACCAAGAACAGTTTATTTACATGCCATCCCCTTATTCAAGGATTGCTCTTCGCTCTTATTCCAGCTTATTTTAGCACTGTTGCCATAAATAAGGGAGATCTGGCTGAATCAAGGGAAAATAACTTTTCCAACTTCGAAATAGCATCTAAAGACACAACTCCTCCGCCTCTCTTCTAAATCGTGCTCACAGGGTCCTCCAGGGCCGTGTCCTGACCCCCGGGCTAACCGCGTGGCAGGGGACGGCCGAGGCTATTTCAGGAAAAGAGTTTACATTTGCTACTTGAAGCAGCATTGCCATCCACAGGGACTGGGAGTTACCAGTCCAATCTTCCCCTCAGGAAGGCAGAAACAGGTCAGACATTTAGGGAAAGCACCTAAACTAAAACCTAAATAGGAAGCCCGGCACTTCCCATTTCTGCATCCAGCCCCGCCGACAGAAATTCATCAGCTGGCGAGGCTGGCCCTTGGTCTCACCCCCTGAAGAAATCTGCAGGCTCTGCTCTGCTTTACCTGAGTGCTGAGCAGTCGTCAGCTTCTCGGGAGGACTTTTTGGGAGTCATTATTGTTAAATAAACACCCTCCCCTTTAAAAACTAACCCCAAACCCACAAATTTTCATATATCTCCTGGAGGGGTTGCACTATTTACCTACCTATTTGACAAGGCTAGGCCAAAATGTCTGTTCCCAACCAAGATTTTAATGACAACAAGATTGTCATTAGAATGATGGGAGGGGAAAAGAAATTGTAGATTTATTTTGGGGAAAAAAAAAAGGCAAAAATGAAAGGTTTCATAATAATGAAAACATTCCAGAAAGTTCAAACATTTGATGCTATCAAATTTGCCACGTGGAACCGGAGGTCACGTACTTGTGCTCCCATTTTCTTATCCAAGATGGCTCCATGCATGGATGGTCTCTCAGGACCCACTACAGTCTCCCCAACTCAGAGAAGAGAATGTGAACACGAGAACTAAAATAGACTTGAGGAAGGCACCGTGACAGCATAGCTAAATCAATGTGTTACTGTTTTGCATATGCTCTGTAGTTTAATGAAAAACAACGTTTCCCAAAGCCAGAAGCCACTTCTCACAAAACGAGTCATTTTAGTCAATCTCAGTATTTTTTGCTGAAAAATACTTTCATCAGAAACTTTCAGTGAGCCCTACGCTTCTGTATTTCTAGGCTGTGTCTTACCATAGAGCCAGAACAGAGTCAGCAGCCAGCAGTTCTTCCCCAAAGGCTAACGAGCTCTGCTTGGCCCACACCATTGCATTCCTCAGTCTTGGCTTTTAGCACAGCTGCCTCTTCTCG